GAGAGAGAAAGAGAAAAAGAGAGAGAAAGAGAGAGAGAGAGAGAGAGAGAGAGAGAGAGAGAGAGGGGGGGGGGGTAATCTCTCTCTGGCCTCATTCAAAACAGTGGACTAACTAGCCCGAGGGTCAAATATGGCCAACCTACTTGAATACTATCCCAGGGGGAATCTATTCAGTGTCTATTAGCAGCAAGCTTTGTAGTGGGTTGCCATATTGGACCCCCAGACTAGTTAGTCCACTGTTCTGAATGTGGCCACAGAGAGATTACATTTACATAAAGATTATATTTAGGACTTAAACCCTGTATATAACATAGCATCACTAAGAATTCTGAGTAGCTGGGATGTAGCACACTAATACTTACTCTTGACCAGCCCCCACACATTCTTCCTATACCGTATCTCACTATGGACCAGCAGTCGGCAGCGGTGGGGGTGAACACGGGTGATACAGTATTGGTTGACCACATAGAAACTGTCACCATAGGGAATAGCACTGTTGATACACTCACACTCTATACGATACATGGCACCTGGACGACTCTCTGGAAGCCACAACTGGATTGAAAAAAAAAATTCAAAATTGTTGCAATATTTTGCATAATTGTTGCATTACAAACTTTATTTAAGCTTCATGAACAATGCTTTCTTTTTTTCCCATAATCATTAAGTTATACATGCACCATCATCATGTTTTTCTTTACTAATATGTAATACTCTCATCCTGTTTTTCCCCCTCTTCAAGGACACAATCAGAAACTTTGCATTCAATATCATGTTACATGCAATTTTAAAGTTATGAAACTGGCTTATGAACTCATTACGTTCTGGATGTAAACAGCTTTCTTACACATTCAACACGCTATTTTGCATGCAAAAATAAAAAAAATAAAAAAAAAATAAAATAAACCCATAAAATGAAAAAAAATAATAATATATGACAGGAAGTAGCTTACAGTATCTAGACTAAATGAAGTAGGAAAAAATAACTGCATGTGTTGCAGGGGACACAAAGGGGTAATAACATGAACTGTGTTTGGACTTACAGCAGATTCAACAAGACTAGTATCATAATCAATAAGCCTATTTTCATTTACAATATATCAGTACAATGGACTATTTCTAAACCAACTATCACTACTATGAAATATGGGGCCTAATGTAAAAATCATTCTTCTTCAAGCTTATTACATGTGATATTTTAGCAAGAATGATGCTGTAATCACGTAGCCACAGGATTCATGATGATGACTATGATTCAAGCAAAGAAAGCTGATAAGTCATATAATACTAATTCTGTAATTCAGTTACTGCAGCAAAATTCAATCATTGTCAGTGTAACAAGCCGGGCACATGTGTCTTGAAGCTAGGAGAGTGCTTTTTTAAATATAGCAGCTCCCTTGGGAAAAACAGACCCAAAATGTTTGTTATATACAGTACAAATATCATACATTTTTTTTCCTTTAGTAAGTTTTCCTAAAAATACTTTCATTTTAACAAAAATTATTTCCAATGTAAATAAGACCATAGGCAGTCAAAATAAACCACCAGTGATTTTCACGTATAAGGCCCTTTACACAAAATAACAAAGAAATAATTGTTGAATACAGCTATATGTGAGAGGTAAGTAACAGATGACTCAGCAAAATCAGATTTAAGCCCATTATGAACTACCTCATCAATCTGTCTGTCTATCAGCAAGTCAATCAGAAACTGACTGAGGAATTTAGGCATTATATATATATATATATATATTGACGACAGTCTGGGGTGCTCCTACATTTTTCTCTTTCAAAAATTCTAACCATATCCCTGGCATCGACAGTGTATGAAAATAAATAAATAAATAACTATTTCCAGACAGAAACATGGGTCAATTTGTTCAATAATTTACCTGTTTTTCCGTGGCTGGGGAGGTTTTGGGCCCAAAGGCAGCATTGAGGGTTAAGGTGTAGGAAATCATCCTCATCTTTGTACCATCTCTATCTGCATCATCTGGCCACGGTGTGAGCACCAAATCTGGATATCAGATTGTAACAATCAATTATGCATCATAAACGTCTACTGAGATATTACCACATTTAGATGATACATTTATGTTGACAAATTAATCTGTTCAAACACTGAGATTACAGAAATACATAATGAATTACATTACATTATATTTATGTAAAAGAAAAATTTACCTCAGAAAAAAATCTAAATCAGAAAGATGTGTAATTTGAAACAAACAAGAATTTAAACTCCTAGTCCAGTTTTCAGTCAAGTTAGTTCAGCCCATCTTAGAACTTTCTTTATCAGCTTACCAAATGTTTTCCGCCTGTCCAGTAGATCTCTGAAGAACTTGGAGTCTGTAAACAGCATCTCATACATTTGGTCTACAGAGATGTTGTAGACTTCATCTATGATTTTCATCCCTCTGTGTTCACTACATGTACACACCACATCCCCTGGAAACCAAGGAAATACTGTATGTGGTCGTTTCATTTCTACCTTATTTCTCTTTGCTTCTACTGACAATATCATTGTCTATGTATAAAAAAACTTGTCTATTCTTTTTGCCAAAGGTCAAGACTCATGGTGTGGTACTGTATTTTGGTGAAAAAAAAGGTACACTTGTTTCTTTTATCTGCATCTATAATAGTAATTCACATGAAAAAGGGATCACAAACCTACAAAAACTGTTATACACAAGCACCCCAACACTCAAAATGTGCGTTCAGAACAGATAATCTGCAGACTAGCTTATCCGCCAACTAAACATGGCCAACCTGACTAAAAAGCGCGTGTGGAGACCATCAGGGACTTAGCTGCATGTGTTTATGTGGATGCGTCATATTTAGTCTGCGGATCTGTTAGTCCACATATCAAATTGTTCTGAACGCCCTCAAACATATTACCCATCTCGCCAGTCTAAAAGATAAAGCCGTGATGTGTCACCTCTGAACAAACCATTTCACACTTTAACTGACACGTACCTTCAGTTTCCTCAGAGTCGTCAGAGAAGTCAGTGGGCATGTCAGGGTTATCGAAGGACGCTGCCTTCACCATCCCCAGGTTAATCAGGCCATTCTGTGAGGGGGGCGCAAGGCGGTCGTATAGATCCTCGTTACTTGTGGTTGTCATAGAGACAGCATCAGTTGGGGAAATCTTCCCCATTAAGTCCTCTGGATTGTCAGTCTGGGTGGAGAAAAGGTACATGGTTTACCAAATTATAGTGGCCACAGCTCGGTGTTTTTTGTTTAAAAAAGGTTATTGATCAGAAGTAAACAGGCCTGGTTGATTCAATGTCAATTTGCGCAAGGACCTTGTTCAATACACAGGTCAAAACCCAATAGCTAAATCCAAGTTTTCGTGACAATCGACATGGGTGAAAGTTGTAAAAACTGACAATCCTGAAAATGTAAATAGGGGCTAGTGGGTGATCAAAATGAAGACTGAAAACGATCAAAGTTAAGACTGAAAATCTGGTATAATCCAGAAAACCATGCAAACCACAAATATAAGTATTATTAAAAATATCTGAATCAAACTGAACATGAGCAATAAATCAAGATGGGCGAGATGAAACCCCAAACAGTATGATGGATCAACCCCTAAAATGATACTTCCCCATCTTAATCAATATCCAAGCAGCTAAAATACCAGCTCCTACATGTACAGGATCAGTGAAGAGGTTACCTTATAGGGCTGCCAACTTTATACATCACACACATCCTATGTATTGACCACCAAACTGCCTTTCTCGCCACCAATGCCCTCTGTTTTTCAAGTGTTATTCCACAGATAATTTCATAAATAACAACAGATCTGTACTTTGAAAAGGGTAACCATTAAACCAACGTAACCATGGAACTCTCCACTTACTTTCTCCTTGATAACCTGAGTTTGAAGCACAAGCATATCACACATGAAGCTCATGCCATCAACCCTGTCATGATAAGAGTGGCACTGCCACAGTAACAAGTTCTCACTGTCTACTACACATGTAATCAGGTCTTAACGAGGAAACCTGATCTGATTATTTCCGTAAAATCCTCCTTTTGTTGTTAATAAAAGCTACTTACTTAGTTAGTCCCACAGTGAGGCACAAAGGGTGAGTACGAATTACAAAGTGTTCATACGTCAATACTTCAGTGGTAATCTAGAACCGCGGCCACTCCGTATTGACAAGGCAGTTCTACGCACATACACGTGAATTGACATTCTGGTTGGATTTTATATGGTCCTGAATCAGTTATGTTTATACAGTATAATGTACACAATAACTGGATAAAACTAAAGATGGACCAAGCTAGAGTCAAGCAATGGTTTTTCCACCATTCAGGCATGTTTTGAAGGGATCTTGTATCAGTGACAACCACCCATAGAACATAACTGAGGTCATGTCACACTGCACAAAGTCCATAGCAAGGCCTATATATTGACTACAACATATTGCAATCAACTTCATTCACTTAGGAGTATGTGGCCATAAGAAATAGCATTCAATACTCTGTATGTTGAGTGAAATTCAAGGGCAGTTTACAATGTATTTGTGATAAACTGCACATGAATGCACCCTCCATTTTTACTCTCCGTGTGCCAAATTCACTAGATATACAACAAACCCAAGAAAGTCAATGTCTGAATTCACCTAGTATTGGTTTCCCAACACAAACCAAACAAGCTTTTCAGATCTGAGAAAATCCAATGAAAATGCTCAAGTCTTGCATTATATACATCCTTACTTGTTAATGAATTGTTTTGCTTTCATTTGTATAATGGCCCATTGATTAACACATGTCACTTCATTCTTATGCATGTGTTCATATTGATTTCTGATATTTGTTTCTGATATCTATGAGAAAATGTATTAATCATGTATTGACATATTAATTGTCTATATATAATAGAAATCAATGCATTCCCAGATATATTTAGATTGCAATTAATCTTTTATCGATGGTACCAGATGGCGAGTATGACAGAAGACGAAAATCCCGAGCAAAATTTTTCAACTATTCAAATATCACAAAAATAGTAAAAAAAAAGATGTAATCACACCTTCCCCTCACTTTAGGAAGTAAAATGGAAGCATTAAAAAGTTTCATGGAAGTAAAAAAAAATGTAACAGTTGGAAAAAGCAGAGGAACAACGCATCAGAAGCTCTATCACACTTTCTTTCCAGTTATATTAGTTTTCTACTCCGTGTTCCCACACCACCTGTTGGGCAAAGCATGAACAAAACTTCAGAGGAATAAAAAGCATGGACACCTATTTTCTCTCACTGGGTCCAACATTCTTTTTAGTGGGGACTGCACTCTATTTGTTTCATATTTGCTGTTCCATATAGTATTATCAAGCATAAAATGCTTTTTAATACTATCCACAATTATTAAATATCAAATATTTGCAATTTCATACAGCATTATCAGGTGTCAAATGCTTCTATAAATTTTTCACACAATGTCAAATATCAAATATTTTGCAAGTTTCTTTAAGTGCCAACAAGCATCAAATCCAACTATGATATCCATCATTATTACCTTTTCTTCCCCACCCTCGTCCAAAGCATCTTTGGAGATGAAAGTATTGGGAGTTTCTTCTTCTGGTGGGATATAGTCATCATCACTGGACGTCAAACCAAGCTCATCTCCGTAACTGAGGTGAACCCACTGCCACATCTCCTGGGCTGTCATTGGCTGCGGGGAAAATTATCATCATCATCATTATCCTGATAAAAATCATTTTCTTCTTTTTTTTTTTAATGAAAATACAATATTTAATTAATTGAAAGGAAGACCAAGCTCATTCTTGTAAATTAGGCTATATTTCCTGGGTTGTCACTGGCTACAGAGAAAATCATCATCATCATCATCATAATCATCATCATCATCATCACAATCATCATCATCATCATCATCATCACCAATCATTATTATTATCATTATTATTGTTATTATGAACTCTCTGTCACCTTTGTTTGGATTCAAGACCAAAAATTAATCATGACATCAATTTCCTTTTTTACACATCCCTTTAAAAAAGTGTCTGTAGATAAATCACCTGGTCCATAAGAGCATTCTGCCACACCCGGAACATCATCAAATACGACTTGTCTCTGGCTCCGAACGACGTGAAGAAGTACTTCTCATTGTTGCTAATAATCTGGATGGCATTTGGTATCACACGGGCTGTCTTCTCTTTGGTCATGCTGGTTATGTCTTTACAGCGGATTGTTATCTGGAATGGAAACGCAATCCAGGGCATGTACACATGGTTATTCACCCCAAATATGTGTTCATTTTTCAAATTGCCAAGTATTTGGTCTGACGTCTTTAAAGCTATCATGTTCATGTAAAGGAGGGTGGGGGGGAATAAAAAATTCAGGTTATAAATACTTTGAACATAAAACCTACAGTGATGTGTATGTGTTTGTGTAATAAATATACAAAGTGGTGTGTGTGTGTGTGTGTGTGTGTGTGTGTGTGTGTGTGTGTGTGCGCGCGAGCATATATGCATGTGTATGTGCATGCATTTGTAATCTGCAGGTGTCTTACCGCAGTCTCCCAGCCAAAGATCTTGGCATAGAAGCAGATCCAGTTCTGTGTGATGTACAATCTGCCATGGGTCAGGATGTCCCTCTGAAGGGCACAGGAGTAATCTAAAATATAATTAATATATTTTTTAAATATTTAAAAATTATTTTATAAAATAATGATTATCTAAATTCTATTTTCAAAACAAAGCCACATTGACCTTAAAATACTGGAGCTGATTGCAGTTGCTGGCTGGCAATTACAGAGCTGAATACCACTTGCTTACTCTAAATAATTTATTGTTAGAGTCACATTGTTAATTTATATGGCCGTTTTTCTCTTCAGCTGTCAAACTATAATGCACAGTGATATGTATTCTGAATTTCATGTTTTGTGTGTCACATTTGTGTAGTTCCCAGCACATTACGTTTTACCCTTATCCAATTTCGCTAAACAATAACCCCCCAACTCATGCAGTTCCCTATATGTTTTCTAATAACTTAATATCACAAAGTGTAATCCCCACTGAAAAATAATTAATGACACCATCTTACCAACAATCAGCCTCTCATCATTTGGAACATCCTTAAACAGTTTCTTCAAATCTTCACTCTTAGACTTGTAGGTGGGGCTCAATACCTGATGGATTTAAAACACAAATTATACTTATCAAACTTATCCATATGTTGTATATAATGAAAAATGGAAATGGGAGAGAAAAACAGACAAATGCCTAAACATGATCAATATCATGTACTAGAATAGAGAAAAAAGATGGAACCTATCCCTATCACATTGTTTACCACTTGAAATATTGTGCTACATTATACAACTGCAAAACCTCTGAAATTCTAATTTTTAAGACAATTCTCAACAGAGAAGCAACTAAGTCAAATGTAGCATGACTTTATAATGGATTGAAAAATATGTACTAGGCTCTTCAATCACTATGTAGCATTACTATTAAGAGTTTTACGTTTTAGTTCAAAGTGCACATCATTTCGTTTCTTAATTTTTTAGCACTTCAAATAAAATATTTAATGAGAGTCCAATTCAATACAGTGCAGGTCTAACTCTTCTGTTCACAAACAGCAGACTTAAAACCCATTATAATTATTTATTCAAAAGTTGTTTTCCATTTTAGCTGAAAGTCATCATACCATTTTCTGCCAATGTTATGCAGTCATGTTGGCATCACGTAAGCAGAGCAATCTACTGCCATTACATCATACGACAAATGTATCGCTTAATCTAACAAAGCCATCTACGTCACTGCAAATCCTTTTTCTTGATTTCTCCAATCTGTTGCTTCAGCACATAGGGACAACAATGTCCTCTATGACATAAGCCAGTTCAGACAAATGCCAAATCAGAACAATCCTTGATCAATAAGTTTGTAAATAAACAAAATGATTAAGTTTCCATTCTTGTTCCTACTGTAAGTAATTCCTGTATTTAATGGATCAAAAGCTTTCCATGACATGGTGCATCCTCCTAATAAGCTTTCAACTCACTGATCCATTGCTAACTGTATTGTGAAATATATATCTTTCAAATTATTAAGTCCCTAAACACTGGCTTAGACCCCATTAACATAAATACCATTGGTCTGCGTGGATCGAACCAACTCTGCGGTGACTCTCACTGAGTGCAATCAACTTAACTGAATAACACGCCTCCTCCTGGCATTAAATAACTGGTAATTATATGAGAACATTGGAAAGTTAAGCTGACTGCACTCACAGAGTTGGATTGATCTATCTAGATTGATGGTGATCATGGGAATCGGGTCTTAGTCTGGCTGTTCCTTATATATAGTTACTAATGATATCAATCTCAAAAAGCTGAAGGCAACATATTTGGCTATATACTGCAATCTGTTTGTCAGGACAAATAATTCAGTTCGGGTGCTCTTTATCTTCTCTAACACTGTCTCCCAAATAAATGTTTGTATAAATTTTACATTCAAGGAAATTTTTATATTTACCTAACGCAAAACCTAGACGATTTTGACACTGCATCCATTGTAATATGACTTAGAGACCATTCCCATAACTTTTTGCACTAGATATAATCAATCTATCTCAGAAGGGATTCTTGCTAAATCATGATCAGTTTAAGCTTGCATGAAAGTTAATTACCTTCCTTGCAGCTTCAGTGGGCATGACAGACAGTTACTAGTAAGTCACTTAAACTGAATGCAATTTAGCAAGAATCCCCTCAGAGTTAGAGCGATCCAGCTAGTGCAAAAGGGTTTATGGAAACCCAGTCTTGATCAACTTATATGACAGAAGCTGTGGGTAATGATAATAATTATTTATAATGAGCTACTCTGAGCCATTTTTATATCAAATGCCAGTCAATTATGTATGATTTCCTTCTACAGAATCATTGTCTTGTATAATTTGTATACTTTCAGCATGAATATAACCCGTATTAATTTAAATGGAAAAGGTACTATGAAATGAATATCACTAAAAAATAACCCAGTTCTTTTCAGATATTAAAATATCACAAATTCAGACATATATGTTTGGACTTTTAAATGAAACTAAACGATAGAAAGCTATCCAATATAAATACCCACATCTTTTTTATATCAGTATATATTTTCCATATTGATATCACACTGCACACTATCCAGCTTTAAATAGTAATTGATAAGACTTCTTAGTTTGGTCCTCAAACGTCCCTGAAAATCAAACATATACAGCTTCAAATATGAAAATTTTAGTCCGTAACTTTTGACACTTACATTATACCAAGTATTCCCTTTCTTTTTCTTCTCAACGCTTCGCGATGTGCTACTTTTCCCACCTCCACTGTCATTGGCTGATTGCCTATTTATGTCGTAAAAATCTTCGGGACATTTCCCCGCCAATTTCTCATGAGAATTCCCCAGGGAACTTCGGTCACTGGTGGGAGTGGAATGATTGTCGACTAACGCTACATCGATGTGTTCCGATGCGTCTTCCGCTTCTGAGACGGTGTCACCACTTTTTGCAGAGGTCACATTGGTGGATGAGCTCTCTGTAGTAGCAGACAGACTGGTAGAAGATGGGGTCCCAGACCTAGGAATTCAATAAGATCAAATACAATTAATTTTGACAAAAAATTCTAATGATGTCATAATTATACATAATATATACAGTATTGATCTTAGACTGAATACATTTTTTCCTGCACAGTAATCCATCCCATGTCCCCCAGGCATCCAAATATCATGATACATTTTGCATTATACATGACGTAAAAATGTACTTAAAGACAACTAATACTTTTATTTCTAGAACTTCTACCAAAAGAAAGCCAAGGGCTCAAAACTTGGAAGTTTCCAAAACTAAATTAGTTGAAAAAATGGAGTATGAAAACTATATGCATCATAACAACAATTGTAACAATGCTAAGTGTAAATTTACCAGTATGTATGTGACAGTGCGTGTCTCTGTGTGTGCTTGCGTGCATGACTATAAGTGCGCGTGTGTTTTGAACACTAAAATCCCTTGAGAAGGTAACACAGTACATACTTCAATGTTAGCATCTTACCAATCATCAAACCAAGTCCACACACTATCGCAGTAATATCCAAGATCTACTTTCTTCATAGCCTGCATTGTATATCTCACTCAAATTTCTTTCTTTTATAAATATCCTGTGTTTGAAACCACAAAATCCTCCAAGAGACTAAGAGTATTCCACAACATAATTCATCTTAAACCAAGTACTGTATGGCTTATTTTGAGTCCAACCTTCCAGAACAAACTGAACAGGATCTACGCGTTTCAACTGGATTTGTCACCAACACATGCAATTTTAATCAGGCAGGTAAATGACGTCCTCATAGGCTGGCTGAACTCTTGCCTTATACACATCAGGTGGGTTGTTTATCAATATTATATTAAGGATTTTATAAACAAATCCTGCCCACACATTGTTTTTAATGATAAACAGTTCCATTTCAATTATAATTAATACCCATGTCTGGTTAGATTTCTGGAGCATCAAACTATCCCTTCCATATCTATCTTATATTAATATGATTATATTATTATTTAAGCAGCTTACCCAAATATGCTTAAATACTATTTATTCAGCTAACCTACTTCTAAGATCATGATACAAGCTTTGACCTTCCCCCACACTGTACTTTGGTACCTGTATTA